ATCAAAAAAATTAGCTAGGCGTGGTAGCACACGTTTGTAGTTCTGGTTACTTGGAAGGCTGAGACGGAAGGATTGCTTGAGCCCAGCGGGTTGATGCTGGGGTGGCCGTGAGCATGCCATCGCACTCTAGCCTGGGTGACAAAGTGAGACTCCAACATCCCCCCCAAAAAAACCCGACTCATCTCCCCTCCCTACAAACCATCTTTTTACATAGTTGTAGTCCTCCCTACTTTTAATATGTACATTCTATCATATTATACACTTTTCTTGATAAAAAAATAAAAGCTGCCTTGTCGACTGAGTAGATGTATCATAATTCACTTAACTGTCCCACAAGCTGGACATATGGATTATTTCTAGCTTGGCCCTACAAGAAAGTAATACTGTAGTGGGGGCAAAACCTGGATCAGCCCAGCCCCCAGAAAGGAGGAAGCAGATACAGAGATGTGAACAGTTCTCGGTAGGCTTAACCAAGCACAGGACAGGGCTTCTGCCTTGAACAGTCTGGCCTCTGGGAGCAGGGGTAGTGGAGCCTCTGGAGCCAAGAGACCCAGGCAGAAGGCTCCATGCTGGCAGCTGGTTGCCCTTCAGGGGGAGCCAACCTGGGGGGAGGGCGTTACCTCTAACTAGTTCAGTTTAACAGCATGAGCAGAAGAAGACTGCACGCAGCGTGGGCCAAGAGACTGTACCTGCCTGGCTGGGCTCTGTTAGTTCCATTGGGGTGGCAGGATAGGCAGGAGCTCAGACTAGGGCAGGGACCCACCAAGCCCTTTTCTTCCTTATCAGAGTATTTTCCCTTAGAATGTACATTTACAGGAATGGATTCGAGTGAAAAGGTATGAACACAGCCCCTCATTTCTCTGATTAAAACCAATTAACAGCAACAAAAATAAATGAAAATCCCTGAGGCACGAAGAGCAAACTGTGTGGTCAGATTAGTTTCTCAACTCAGTGGTGGAAAATTTAGGCCGATTCCTGGGTTGAAATTCTGTCCACAGCCTGTTTAAACCCCAAAGTTTTTCCCTGTTTGTTTAGCTCTGATACAAAATTAATGATTGCTCAAAGTCACTATATTTACAGCTCTTCAACTATAAACTCAGATTTTAGGAAGGGACAACTCTATGGAGTGACTTTAGAAATGGTAATGCTTGCTTTTGTCATCATCTCATTTTCAGTCTGGAGTTAGCCCATTAAAAGCAAACAAAACAAAAAACAAAAAAGAATATATACACTGTTTGGCAGGAAATGTGGGGCCTAGTCCTGCTCTGTGGCAGGAAAGTCCTGCTAAAAGCAATGGGACGTTTAGGTGGCCAAGACGTATGAGGCTAACACATGCATTTAGCTAGAAGCATAAGTACATCTATGGAGATGTGATGTCCTCCTCTGACAGTTCCTCCACTGCCCCGTAAGGGGCCTCTGTCCCTGGTCTGGACACTGTGCTACTGTCCTCCCTACCTTCACCTCCTTCCAAATCTCCCCACTGGTCTCCCCGCTTGACTGAGGACTTCCTCAGCACCCACGTGCCTAGTGTGTAACATATCAGTAATGTATATTAGCTTGTGGCTTTGTGAATATCATTCTATCATCATTAAATGCTGTGAGGTCCTCAGACACAAACTACCTTTTACAACAAAATTGCAATAAAATGCTTTTAATTTAGCTGTATTATTACTGGTCAGTTCTGCAATGTAAGATTATTGAGGGCTTCCTCAGAAAAAAAGAATTGACTTTACCTGAAACCATACCAGAAACGCTTCCCTTCCTTTTTCTTTTCTTTTCTTTTTTTTTTTTTTTTTGAGTTGGAGTCTCACTCTGTCGCCCAGACTGAAGTGCAGTAGCCTCGACCTGCTGGGCTCCGGCGATCCTTCCGCCTCAGCCTTCCAAGTAGCTGGAATTATAGGCATGCACTACCACGCTTGGCTGATTTTTTGATTTATCGTAGAGATGAGGTGTCGCCAAGTTGCCCAGGTGGGTCTTGAACCCGCGGGTTCAGGCAATCCACTCACCTCAGCCTCCCAAAGTGCTGGGCCTTCCTTTTTCTTTAAGCTCCCTGAGGGCAGGGAATTTGTCCACCTTGTCAGGGTTGTGTCACATTTACCTAGAAGGATGTCTGACCACACAGACTCCCAGGGCTACCTGCCAGCTGTTTATGCTGAGGAAACATGTTAAAGTCGTCTAGACACCATGTAATTCCAGGGTGTCTGTGTCCTTCCTTCAGTAGTTCCATACAGGGTAGAATGTGAGCATGTTTGGCAGAAGTTGGACTTTACCGACTACAGCAAGCAGGGCTGGCTTCTCTCTGAGCCTTCTACTGGCTCTGGCTAGAAGGGAGGCGAGCTACCGGGATGAGAAGCCAGAGGGAGGGAATCACTGAGCAAGCGGTTCTCCAGACTCAACCGGGAAGGATTTACCAGAAGCATGAACTCCTGTGTGGCCCCTGCAGAGGCAGACGGGCCTTCCCTGCTCCACCTCGGCGTAATAGGAAGGACGCACATGCGGCTGCCATCATCCCAGTGCTGAAAGGGCTCATCGCCCTCAAGCCTCGGCAGGAAAACAAAGGTTATACCAGTTGAAAGTAAGGAACTGCTCTTCATTCAGCCAGTAGATCTGTTTAAAATGTCGAGGGGACCTGAGCCTGCACCAGCACACACAGGGCAACGGCGTCTATCTGACCTGGCAGCATACAGGCCCACATGACCTTAGCCTGGACATTGGCTCTCTGTGCCCCAGAGAATAAAGTTGCCTCTTTTGTTTCTTATTGCATGAGGTTGATGTAACAATAGGTAATTATATGTGTGAAACTCTTTGAGATCTCAAGAAAGGGACTGTGTAGCAAACTGTCTGCAAAATGTCTAGCACCTCACAGATTTTAGCTTCCTGAACCTTTTTGCCTGAGTTGAACACCTTCGTTTGCTGTGTCAGGCATGTGCTCTTGCCAACAGCAGATGGCGCTACTGCAACAAAATGAAATGAAGCTGTTGTCATTTTAAGAGTCTGACACTGGGAAAAAAAAAAGAAAACAAACTTGTCCAATATCCTCCTACTTATCCAACCCAGCGGTCTCTGAACACAAGTCACTGTTCACAGTAAGTTCACAGCAGTTGCTTTAGGAAGTGCATCTAGTGATTCCAATTTTATAGATGCCAGAGGCTTGCTGAAAACTGGACCAGTTGTCAGGAGAGAGCAGACAAGAGCCTCTGGCCTTGTGGCTCCTCCAGGCCTTGTCCCGGTGGACCTTGCAGTGGGCCCCTTGCTCACCTCTGTCTTATCCTAGTGACTGAGAAGGACGAGACTTTGGTTAATTTAGAGAATGTCCTTTCAGCTGGATCCTCAGAGTGTCCAGAGGAGTCAAGAGAAAGATTCCCAACAGGAAGATGAACCTAGTCCTGGAATGCGCCAGCTGGAGACCACTGAGGTAACCACGCCCGGTGACAGCTAAACATGGTTAAACATCAGAAATCACCTATGGGAAATGTGTCTAAAAATGCAGATTTCTGGAGTCCCATACCTCAGACTCCATGAATCAGAATCTCCAGGGGTAGGACCCGAGAAACTGAATTCATATCTGACATGATCCTCCAAGTGATTGTGAATGAAGTGATATAGTCTCTAGTTCACCAGACTGGTCTTTGTGATCCACTGATGAAACAGTCTTCATTTTATAGGAGATGATGATGATGATGATAAACAGTTACTTACATTCTATGTGCCAGACATTGTTCTAAGTACTTCAGACTCATTAACTAACGTGACCCTCACAGAGGTGCTAGGAGGTAGGCATGGTTTGTTGTTATTATCATCCCCATATTGCAGATGAGGAAAACTGGAATCTAGACCTTGGCCCTAGAACTCAGGAGAGGCTTCCTCAGAGATGTTTTGCATCCCTACTTTGGATATACTGAGATCTTCTTTTCTGGCCAACGTTGAGCTTCACAAGGAGAAACTGAGTCCTGGGCCCTCATTTGCCCTGTGGGCATGCTGACTTCAAATTCCAGTAGTACTCACTTTTGGAAACAATATAGAAAACCTCTACCTATCAGAAAATAACAAAATAGGTATAAACTGCAGCATGAGTGACATAGCTGAGGCAAAAAGGATTATTTTTAATAACTATAAGGACTATTGAGCATTATACTGGATCAATAAGGGAGGTTCTTTTTTTGTACTTTCTTGTGCAGTTTTGGATTTCTTCAGAAGATCTTTAATAAGTGGTCATAGACATTTGTAATTCAGAGACACCATGAAGAGTATAGAAAAAATATGAATGCATTTGAAGAGTCTGGAGAGATGTGCATGGTGTGTGTGAGTGTGTGCATGTGTGTGTGTGCATGCGAGTACAAGTGTGGTGACTCTCAAGGGATCTGGGGCAGCAGTGATCTTGAGGGGGAATCACAGCAGACAACCATGCCCTCCTAGCACTTATTCTGTGGGGTGTCTGCTGACAGAAGACTCAGGGGTGAGATAAAGCTTGACCCCGTGGGTCATCTCCTTTGTGATTCTGTCTGGGATGCTTAAAAGAAAAGAATACTTGAAGGTGAGGACAATGATTAAGTGACTTCTTCAGCTCCCCTCCAGATGCCATCAGAGACTCAACTTTTCCGCAGGTAGGAGGGATCTGGGATCACAGCGCCCACCTCTCAGATCCCAGCTTGCCAGTCTCCTGCATTCTTTCATTAGCCCACAGGTCTGTTCAACTCCTGAGGCATGAACAGCTTAAGTCATCTCAAAGAGATTCCCTAGGTATACAGCAGTTGCTGAGGGGAGCTCTGGCTTTTCCAACTACAGATCTGACCCTGAAATGCAGCACCATATTCTAGACTTAAGGGGTCTGATGGGACAACTCCAATGTCTGGTATGGAAACAAAACAAGGTTACTCCAAGATTCAAAAACATCTGCCACAGTGTTCTCCTGGACTTCACAGACTACTGTCTCATGCATTGGGGCATCTCAATAAATGATTGCTAACTGAAGGACTCAACGGAAGGTAGAGACTACTCACCTCAGTGCGCTGTACCCCTGGCACACGCTGACACAGCACAGGACCTTCTCTTGGTTTGCCTGAGTCTCCCCCAGGTATTTGCACACAATGTTTCCACCCAGGCTGAAGCCCACGACAACCAGTTGGGTCAGGGGATATGTCTTCTTGATGTAGTTCACCATGGCTCCGAATTCCCATGTACAGCCTGTGGGCAAAAGGGTGAAGCCACTCAATCATTTCAGTGCAAAAAATCTAGAGAAAATGTGAGCTGGAGGATTACTAAATGAGTGCCAATATACTAAAAGAGAGAGAGAGAGAGAGAACACACACACACACACACACACACACACATCTTATGTGTAACAAGAGAGACATACAGACAATGATCTTTCGCTATCCAGAAAGAAGCTCCCAGATGCCCTAGGGATAACAGGAAACAGGGAAGTAGCAGTGCCATGAGTATGTATCAGATGTGCAATGTTCCTTTAAAGGAGGCCACAAGAAACCTGTCTAGGCTCATGAAAATCAAAGTGGATATTCAGGGTGTGCATATGTTCATGCACAGATTGAAATAAAAGCAAGAGCAAAACCCTTCGGGATTAGCTTCCTAGGCTACCAAATGGGATGCTATACCCATGTGTATGATGATTCATGGTGTTAAGAAAAGTACCAAGTGGATGTTATTTACAGGAGCATTGTTAGCATTGGGGAGGGGAAGAAAGACAATCTTTGGTCCAAGGAGATAGCCAGGATGCTCTGTAGGATGAGGGTACAACATTTTTGGTGACGCAGGGATAAGGCATCAAGGGAAGCAGACTCATTCAGAAATACACAGAGGAGACCTCTGAACTCCTGTTTGGGCCTAGTTTGACTTTGCTAAGAGAAGGAAAGTAATAGTCAGACACAGGTGAAGGGATTCATCACACCCTTCTGAGACTCGACCTCAGGCTTTGTAGGAAACCGACTGAAAGTAAAACGAAGAGAGAAAATTAAGGATATTGGCAGGAAGCCATTATGAGACTGGCATGAGAAGAGCAAAGACTTACAGTGGAACAAGGAGTTGCTGATCTTGGCCCTGGTGCAGAGTTTTTGACATCCCTAATAGAGTTGAACAACTCCTTCCCTATTTAGCAAACCATGGGGGACACTCCCTTTTGAGCCTTGGGCAAGCTTCCCTTGTACCTGCCTTCCATTTGTAGTAGGACACAGTCTAAGCCAGACTAGTGAGCTCTTAAACTGCAGTGTGCACACAAGCCCCTGAAGGTGTCAGAAGCTGGCATTCCTGGGCCCCACCCCAAGAGAAGGTGATTCCCTATGATGTGGGCCAGGCCCAGGAATCCACGTTCAATTTTTTTTCAGTAGGTAACTCATGCACATGGTATAAAATTCAAATGCTGTAAAGGATACAGTGAAAGGTAAGTCTATATTCTTTTTAAAAATACCAGTGGTAACGCACACGTTGTTTGGTACCTTGTTTTTTCCCTTTATGTCTTACAATATTACGTATTAATACATATGAAACTGCCTCATTCTTTTTTATTTTTATTATATTTTTTGGGCTTGTTTTCTCATTGGTTTTTTTTTTTTTTTTTTTTTTTGGAGCAGGTTTTCACTCTGTCATCCAGACTGGAGGGTAATGGCACAATCATGGCTCACCGCAGTCTTGACCTCCCAGGCTCAGACGATCTTCCTGTCTCAGCCTCCCAGTTAATTAGCAGGGACTATAGGCATGCACCACCACACCTAGCTAATTTTTCTATTTTTTGTATAGATGAGGGTCTCATTTTGTTGCCCAGGCTGGTCTCGAACTTTTGGCGTCAAGTGGTCCTTCTGCTTTGACCTCCCAAAGTGCTGGGATTACAGGCATGAGCCACCGTGCTGGGCTATTTTTATTTTTAATAATGTATAACGTGCACACAGGAAAACGCACAATTAATTTTCACACATTTATGCCCAGGTAACCATTACCCAGATTAAGATGTAGCATATTCCTGATACCCCTGGAGGCTCTCTCATGTCTCCTCCCAGATAATGTCCCGTCAACTTTGACTAATGATCATGATCTGAAAGTGTTGGGTACTCCTGAGGTTTGGAAGGAGCTGAATAAGGAGCTTAAGCAAAAGATGCTTAAAACTAAGGAGAAGCCGGGCTCGGTAGCTCAGCCTGTAATCCCGCGCCTTTGGGAGGCTGAGGTGAGTGGATTGCCTGAGCCTGCGGGTTCGAGACCTGCCTGGGCAGGCAAAACTTCATCTCTACAATAAATCAAAAAATCAGCCGGGCATGGTAGCGCATGCCTATAATTCTGGCTACTTGGAAGGCTGAGGTGGAAGGATCGCCAGAGCCCAGCAGGTCAAGGCTGTGGTGGCCGGGAGCGGCCACTGCACTCCAGTATGGGTGACAGAGTGAGACTCCAACTCAAAAAAAAAAAAAAAAACTAAGGGGAAAGCCAGGGCCAAGAGCAGCTCCTTTTCAATACAGTAAGACCTAAGCACCAGCTCTGAGAAGCAGGCATGGCTCCCTCTCCAGTGAGATATTCAAGGATCAAGTGGCTGGGGCAGTTTACAGGCCTTCGACAGACAGTTGCTAAATTGAGTGGATTCTGATGACAAGACCTCTGAATGGGTCCAGGAACAGGGAAAGAACAAAAAGCTGGGCTACAGGTAACCTTGAACTCTTAACTCTGGAATTTTAAATGCCACACTTTTGCCCCCATTTAGGTCATATTCATCTCCAAGTTTCCCTTTTAAAAAGGTAACAATGAAAGGAATATTGTACCTCTAGAACACTGGATTTCAAATGGGGAGCTGTGATATAAAGAAGGGATCTTTAAAAGGAACCAGTTAGCCAGGCTCGGTGGCTCAGCCTGTAATCCCGCACTTTGGGAGGCTGAGGTGAGTGGATTGCCTGAGCCCGCGGGTTCGAGATCTGCCTGGGTAATTTGGTGAGACCTCATCTCTACAATAAATAAAAAAATCAGCTGGGCATGGTAGTGCGTGCCTGTAATTCTGGCTACTCAGAAGGCTGAGGCGGAAGGATTGCCGGAGCCCAGCAGATCGAGGCTGCGGTGGCCGGGAGCGACCACTGCACTCCAGTCTGGGTGACAGAGTGAGACTCCAACTCAAAAAAAAAAGGAACCAGTTAAGATCACAACTAGAAATTAGCTGGGCTGAGGTGAGAGGAATGCCTGAGCCCACGAATTCAAGACCAGCCTGGGAAACTTGGCAAGACCTCATCTCTACAATAAATCAAAAAAATTAGTCAAGCATGATGGTGCATGCCTGTAGTTCCAGCTACTTGGAAGGCTGAGGCAGAAGAATTGGTTGAGGTTGCAGTGGCCATGAGTATGCCACTGCACTCCTGCCTGGGTGACAGAATGAGACTCCAACTCACACACACACACACACAAAAAGAAATTAGCTGATAGCAGCATCACCATGCAACAAATCAAAAAATCTCATTAGAGACATTTGTTCATCTCCCTTAGGCCACAGGAGACCTGAAAACAGGTCCTTTAAAGAGCAATTTGAACTTGTTCTGAGTGAAAAAGCTCTGTGGTCAGACTGTCAGGGCCCACCACTTAGTGACCCCAAATGCTCCCAACGTCCCTCTAGTAACAAGTAGCCCCTGAAGTACAAGGAAAACCTATATGTTCCAGACTTCCTGCTAGAGGTTTGCAGTCTGAAGAAATAGGTTGGGGACTGGGAATGGGTACTTTTTACAAATAACTCAGATGAGTTTTATTGTGAAGGAACTGTGGGAAATAGTTACCAAGTCATTCAGGGTCTGTTTCCTCATCTGTAAAATGGAGGTAATAAGAGTAAATACTTCATAGAGTTGTATGGAGAACTGAAAAGGGTGCTATACATAAACAGCTTAGACCAGAGCCCGGAATACAATGAGCATTCAGTGTTAACTATCATAACTGACTGTAATTCTCTTCTTTAAAAAATATTTAGGTACACCTATGTTCATAGCAGCATTATTCACAATAGCCAAAAAGTGGAACCAACTGATGGAGTGTCAACTGATCAAGTGTCCACTGATGGACGGATGGATAAGCAAAATATGGTATACGTATATAATGGAGTATTATTCAGTTTTATAAAGGAAAGATATCTGGTCACGTGCTACAACATGGATGAATTTGGAGGACATTATGCTAAGTGAAATAAGCCAGTTGCAAAGGACAAAAACTACAGGATTTCGCTTATTATTATGTACCCAGACTAGTCAAATTTGTAAAGACAAAAAAATAGGATGGTGGTTGCCAGGGGCTAGGGAGAGATAGGGAATTATTGTTTCATGGGTATAGTTTTAGTTTTGCAAGATGAAAATGTTCTGGAGATTTGTTGCCAAACAATGTGAGACTTCATAGCTTAACATTTGAATAGGCCAATCTACATTTCTAGATTTTTCTCTAAAGCAGTGTTCTTCAACACTAATGCCTGGGCCCTTTCCAGGTGTATTAAATCAGAATGTCTGGGAGTGGGACCTGGGCATGGGTGTGCTTTTACAAGATCCCTAGGTGATTCCAATGTGCAACCAGGGATCAGGACCATAGCTCTAAGGAACAAGGATCTCTCCAGCACAGACCAATATGAGAGGGCATTTTTTTTTTTGAGTTGGAGTCTCACTTTGATGCCCATGCTAAAGTGCAGTGGCATGATCACAGCTCACCACAGCCTCCATCTCCTGGACTCAGGAGAGATCCTTTACCTCAGTCTCCTCAACTAGGACTACAGGCACACCACCATGCCCAGCTCTTTTTTTTGTTGTTGTTGTTGTAGAAATGAGGTTTCACTATGTTGCCCAGGCTGGTTTTGAACTCCTGGGCTCAAGTAATCCTCCTATATTGGCCTCCCAAAGTGCTGGGACAACAGGCATGAGCCACCACGCCTAGCTGGGAGGGCATTTTTTTGTTTTGTTTTGTTTTGAGTTGGAGTCTCACTCTGTTGCCCAGACTGGAGTGCAGTGGCCGCTCCTGGTCACCGCAGCCTCAACCTGCTGGGATCCGGCGATCCTTCTGCCTCAGCCTTCCAAGTAGCTGGAACTACAGGTGCGCGCTACCACGTCCAGCTCATTTTTTGATTTATTGTAGAGATGAGGTCTCACCAAGTTGCCCAGGCGGGTCTCGAACCCGCGGGCTCAGGCAATCCACTCACCTCAGCCTCCCAAGGCAATCCACTCACCTCTGCCTCCCTAAGG